GAACCGGTCTATTCTGTGTAGTTGTGACCAAGGGCTTCTCCTCCTCAGACAGCTCCTCCTTCTGCAAGGAGGATTCCATCATCCGTGGGTGGACTGGAGTCCCGATGACAGTCTAGCATTGGTCTCTTAGGAGGTGGCGAATGGGACCCCTCCCGTCCTCCTGCTTCCCGATGCACTGCTAGAGAAGGACCTCCAGTTCCTGCCATGAGAGCTGGAAGACCCTCTGGGCAAGACTTGGTAGACTAAGGCCTTGAACTCCTGTTTCAACCCCATCTGCATCTCTCGCTTGAGCCAGACTAGAAGGCTGGCTTGGGCATCCCTCCCCTGAGAGCTCCAAATTCATGCCCAGGATTCCTGTGGGACTGCCAGCCTGGAGGGCCCCCTTGCTGGGTCAGGGGATCTGCCAACCCCACCGTGGATAACATGCCGTGCAACCTTACCAGAGTCCTTGGAGACAGAGCTGCCCAGGGCTCAGGATAGCTTGCTGCCATGGTTCCCCTGGAGGATGCTTGCGGCCATCAACTGGAAAGCACTGGACCTTGTAGGGCTGAAAGTTCCTGGTCTGCACTCCTGCCTGGGGCTCTGGCTGTGAGGCCGCACTGGGGGGCACCAGCTTGCCTCACGGCCCAATTCAGCTTGCGCTGGGGCAGAAGCCGCACTCTGACTTGGGGCCTCAGGCAGTGAGGCCATGCCGCGGAGTGTGGGCCTTTCCCAACCCTATCTGCACCGGCAGGGAGGGCCGAGGCCATGCTTCAACTTGGGGCTCCAGCTGGCAAGCCAAGCCATACCAAGGAATGATGGCTGTTTCTACGTCCTGGCCCCAATCTTCTCTGGTGGCATGCTTGGGGGATGGGTGTAGGGGTGAAAACCTGTCCTGATCCTATGGCATGGGGATGGGGGTAGGGCGGCAGGCCCGTCCTACTCCCTGGTGCTCTTCGGGTGCCTCTCTCTGGCCACACACCCGGGAGCTGTGCCTGAGAGGCATGTACCTAAATGAAAAGAACAAAAAGTTAAAAGAAAAAAAGAGAATCGCCACGCTCAAGCCGCACATGCAAGACAGTGTCCTCCTGCCTTGAGGCAGGGTCGAAGATCTGGGGCCATGAGGGAGAAGTCCCTCCCCCTACAGGAGCTGCAGACAAAGACAAGGTGACCCTGCTGGAATAGAGGGAGGAGTTTTTCCCATTGTAGCGACTGACCCACCTACCCCAGGACCATAGGAGAATCTGTAGACAAGATTTTCTTAAGAGAGTCAAGCATTTTTTTAGCCTCCACCCTAATCAGCTAAGGGCAAATGAATGGTTCTTTCAAATTATACAAATCCAAGTAAAGTTTTATGGCCAGGTCTTCTCCTATTACTGTAATAAATATAAACCCCTAACAGAGGGAGACTGTTTCCGACACAAGCTTTCTCCATCCACTGAAATATTCTATGATCTCATTAATAAATCAACTCTACGTGATTCCAAATCAAATTCTGCATTTTCCTAATAATGTGCCACCACTTTGGAATAGTGGAAATTATACTTATGACAACAAGGAGTAAACAAGCAGAATACTCATGCAAGCAGGGCACATCTTCATTCACACTCCTCACTGCCCTCCTCCTTCAGGACAGTCAGGACTCAGAGCAACATCTGTTTTGGTAGACTCCACACCTCATTCTCCTTCAGTGACAGAAACTGTTGCAGGGAGATCATGAAGGCGCTCATGCTCAGTCTTGACTTCCAGCAACTTGAGACATTTGTTATGCGACATCTTCTAACTTTCTGCCTCGTTTTGCATTTTATTACTAGGGCAGCTCCTTTGTCAGATGTGTTAATCCCAACAAAGAAAGTCATGTGAATTCTTTAAAAGGCCAGTGACACACAGGTTGTTAGAATGTAATCTACTCCATCTTCTCTTTAGTGAAGTGGCCACAGACAGAAAAAAATCTATGGCAATTCGAAAGGTGCTTCAGAACCTTTTGCTCCAGAATGAATCAGCCTTCAGTGTGTCATCCAGAAAGCAATTATATAACACAAGTCAAAGGGAATCATGTCACTACTAGCCGGCTGCCAAGTTTCTGGCATTACAACATTCTTCTTTTGAATACTGCGAAGTAGATTCTGGAGATGTAAATACTTTTTAAATATAAACACAACATTTAGGTGAACAGTAGAATGTATGCCAGAAAACAAAGGAGTGGGTACTTACTTTTAACTTGTTTTTTAATACTCTTAGTGTTGTCCAACCAATGCTGAAAGGGGGAGAATCCACAGATTAAAAACAATGTTCTAAACAGACATTTTTTTTTTAACAGAAAACATAAAATCTAAAGTTTGTCATTGAGAAAACTACAAAAAAGGAATGAACAAACATCTTTTCACTTAAAGGATTCCCAATGTAAACCATTTCAAAACTTTCAAATCTACACATACATAAAACGTGTCAAAGTTAAAAAAACAAACAAAAACAACAACAAACAAATCTTCACTTAAAATGTTTGCAACATTGCAGAACCACCTTGTAGATGAATCGAGCTTTTCACAGCAATGATGGAATTATATGGAAGTATAAGAAACAAGTGGAGACCTGCAAGAAACTTGTGGGATGGTTATCCCATTCCTCACATCTTTGCTTCCTCCCCTTTCCCCCTACCTCTCTTACCCTCTTTCTCCCTTCTGCACCCCCTTTGTTACTTTCTGTCTCTCCTCCATGCTTGTTACCACCTCTCTTTGTGCCCCCTCACCATTCTTTGTTTTTCTGCCTCCTCACCTCATTACTCTTTCTGCCCCCCACCTCATCACTCTCTCTGCCCCCATCACTCTCCTAACCTCCTGCCTGCTTCCTCCCCCATCCCACACAGCAGTAGCAGTGGTGGCAGTGCTCCTAGCCACCCACCTGTTAACTCCCCCCTCACATTAGCAGTGGCAGCGCTCTGGGAATCACAACGGATCTCCCAGCTACAGAGATCAATCCACTTTAGGGCTACCAGCTCCAGATTGGGAAATTCCCGGAGATTTGGGGGTGATGCCTTGAGACAGTGAGGCTTGGGGAGGGAAGAAGCCTCAGCCAGGTATAATGCCATAGACTCTGCCCTCCAAAGCACCCATTTTATCCAAGGTAACTGATCTCTGTCACATGGACAACAGCTGTAATTCTGGGTGATCTCCTGGAGGCTGTGAATGGTAGTTCTCATGGAGGAAATGGCTGGTTTGGAAGGTGGTGTCTATGGCATTATACTGGTCTGAAGTTTCCTCCCTTCCTCAAATCCCACCCTCCCCAGGCTCCACCCCTCAAATGTCCAGGAATTTCCCAACCTGGAGTTGGCAAACCTACTTCCTTCCCACCCAACCTACCTTTATCTGCCTCTCTGTCTTCAGCTTTCCATCTCCACCCCCCTCCCTCACAGCCTCTACCTAGGGAAATTACAGTCTTCCTCCACAGTGGGGACCAAAGCAGCTTACATTATTCTCTCCTCCTTTTTATCTGCGAGGTTGGTTAGGCTGAAAGTGTGTAACTGGTCCACAATCACCCAGTCAGCTTCCACCACAAGATGGGGATCTGAACATGGGTCTTGCAGACCCTAATCTGAAGCTCTGGCACATCGCACTGGCTTTCATAAGGTGGCTGCTGATTAACAGTAGCAAGCAGCCGGGCCTACTTAAGTTCTGAAAGCGAGATGGCATCAAGTTGCTGCCAAGCCTAGGGTTGCCAAGTGCGGAATTACAACTGAATAACCCCTAGAATTACAATGGAACTCTAGACAACAGAGATCTGTCTCCCTGGAGAAAATGACTGCTTTGGAGGCTGGACTCTGTGGCATTATATCCAGCTGAGGCCTCTCCCTTCCCCAAACCCAGCCCTCTGTAGACTCTAGGGATTTCCCAGTCTGGCACTGGCAACCGTTGTCAGGGCTGGACCTAAGGATCCCTCCCTGAAAGGCCAAACCAGGCTTGGAAAGGGCCCTTTCCCCTTCCCCTGCCTTTTACTGACAGCCATTTAGAAGCCTTCCCCCTCCCCCAAAATGTTCTAATCTCTCACTGTCAATGCAGTGGGGCCTGGAGTAGATCCCTGCACGGGCCATTTCAAAAGGTATGGGGGGGGGATTCAATCCTCTCTGAGGATTTTGGGTTTTTTGTTACTTTTTGGATTTTTCTGCAGTCCCACAGAGTCCCCTGAGCCTGTAGAAAAACCTGTTGAGGGAGAGTGAGCCCCCTATCAGTGGAAATGTATTCACACATAGAGGGGACACTTGGCTATTAGTATATAGATTGTGGAGATGTTAAACTGTGGACAGTTTAGATTTTTGTTTTGGTGATTGCCAGCAAGGGGGGTTACTCCTTTATTTATTTATACTATAGTGTTTCATAGTGTTAATAATTTAAAAAACCCACAAAGAGGTTAGGATTAGCTTCTGTGGTTGAAAATAATTTGGAAACATGGTAATTAAAACACAAAACCCTGAAGGCTGAAAAATGAGTTTGGCTCCTGAAGCCAAAGAAAATTGTTCAAGACCTGAGCACAGATATGCTCAGACTAATAATTTTTCATTTCAGGTACAAGTCTTTTACACGCATACAAAGTGCAGAAAAAATGTACTAGGTTGGCAGGAGCTGGAACTAGAGACGAGAGCTCACTCCGTCATGCGGCACCCGGGTCTTGAACTGCTGAACTACTGACCTTCCACAGCCTGCAGTTCAGTGTCTTAACCACTTGAGCCACCACAGCTCCCCTAAAAACTAGTACTGCAGAATAAATTCTCTACGAGTACTGATGCTGACTTAACAAGAACTTTTTATGCAAGATAAAAAAGCTACAGTTTGCATTTAACTGAGAACAAGAACTAACGGCTAAGTTCAGGAACTATGTTTGCAGAACAGGGGCATGAGCAGTTGCCAAGAACCTTCCTTATGTGAGGTGGTTGGTGCCAACATATTTGTAAGTACAGGGCATTCAACATATGGTTCTTCAGAGCTGCCACCCATGGCCTCCCACCTCCTTTATAATTGCATAACAAGACTACCTTCATGTCTCAAATGGGATTTCACTGCACTCCCCATTCCATACTGTAGTACATTGGCAGACATTTGATGGTAGTGGGGGGGTGTCAGACCCCAAGTTAGCAGAACTTGACATTACACTGACAGCTATGTATTGCTCACTCCCAAGAAGATAGATAGGTCCAAACCAGATACACAGTTGTGTAATACCTATAGGCCCATTTTAAGTATACATTGTACACAAGGGGCATAATTACATACCACAGCTGGCCTGACTTTAGTTAGATCACCAGCATGTATGCTTACATCACATCATGGTATCATTAAGAACCCCCTGCTGAATCGCACCAGTTCTCCATCTAGTCCAGCACTGTTAGAGGGGTTACATTCTGTTCCTACATAAAACTAAGGATACACACTGAGAAGGTGATTAGGTTTTATTATAATTATTTTCCTCACAAAAAGTTCAACAAAACAGAAAGGAAAGTGGAATAGAAATCATATTTCATCAACTTCTTCAGTCACAAGAGCATATTAAACAAAACGGCCAGTTTTAAGAAATCGGGATCATAGCTTAGTTTGCACAGGAAAACAGATTAATAATGTGCATTACTGACGTAAAGAAATGTTGATGCAATGATGTCAGCATAGAGCAGCCTCAATCAATATAGTTCCCTTAGCTACATAACCCCAAGCCTTCCAGTATATCACAGTGGTTATTAAATTGTCTCCAGATACCTCTTCATTATGGCCAGGTATGTGCCTGATAATGAAGAAGAATGAAAGACAAGGAGTGCTCACATCATGTATGGCCTGCAGACAATAACAGCATCACTACAGTGCTGACTGGGGCTCCTTGCTCCTAGCAACACTGTGACCGTACTTGCCTTTAAAAAACAAAACAACCCCTCCCCTAAAAGCGACAGACTGAAACAGAACCCTGTCAACAAGGATCAGTAAAGACAGCTGTGACAGACTGCACTTCTAAAAAGCTTAAAAGTACCATACAAACAGCTTAAGGATTGTGAAGGGTTAATTCTCACAGAAACGGAGTTGAATGACAGGCCGCTCCAAGCAATCTGATTGGTTAGCATCAGCTGAGCAGAGAAAGACTTGAGAGCTGCATGCTGAGGAGAGAGTCAATCAGATTTCTGCCTTGACTGAGTTGAGTCTGATTTCAGCCCTAGCTGAGAGGAGTTGAGTACTGACCATTTCAGAATTCAGCCCTGACTGAGAGCAGTTTAGTACAGACAGGAGAACTGGAGGAAAGTTGGCAAGGAAGTATGGGAAGTAGGCAAAGACTCCTATTCAGGCCAAAGAAAGGATAGATCTTCTAGTGAAAGGAGCATTTACCTACCCAGTCAAACAGAGAGATAGAGGGAGTTAGCTCTGAGGAGTGCAGAGATGCCTGGTCTGGTGTGGTTAGAAACTGCCTGTAGAAACCTTAAAAGTCAGTTAAAAACTCAAGATGAGTACTGGTGTTTCAAGAGAAGGTGTTTGGGTACTGGAGAGTGTACCAGCCTTTTGGAAACCAAAAGAGTCAGAGAATACTCAAAGAAAGTTTACTGGAACAAAAGCCTTTCAACATAAAAAATTTAAGTAAATCTGAATAAAGAAACTCTCATTAACCTGAAACATAAGAACTAAGTCTGAGCATGTACTAGTTTTACCTTAGAAATTTCAACCCCGATTTCACCTGACCTTTCCCCTCTATGTTGAATAAAATATTCTGTTAATTTAGAATACAAAAAAAGTCTTGAGCGGGGGCTCCCAATCCTTTCATCAGGTTCCTGGGCTGAGCAAACAATCAAAATATTATACTGTGACAGGGTGGGATAGCCAGCGTTCTTCAGCAAAGAAGAAAACACATTATCAGGGCAGCTCAGTTAGTAAATGGAAAGAAAAATGAAGGGGAAATCTTGCCTCTGAGGAAGGGAAGTGGATGGGGACAGTCATAACAGTAAACCTAAAAATCTTTAAAACCAAGCTGTTAAATGCTAAAGAAGCTGATCCAAGAGAATCTCAGAATCACCAAGCAAAATTGTTTATTAGTCAACAATTCACAAAGGCCTGGGGGTAAAGGTTAGCAGTTTTAGCACCCAGGTATAAGGTGCCCTAGGGAGTAGTTCCCAGTCAAATCACTCTCCACACACACTTTCTTTAGTGAAAGGTTTATTTAGAGATCTGAGATGCGCATTCAGACTCTTTGTCAGGACTGAGGTGCAAAGGCAGGGAAAGCGGCGTATAATCACAG